TAAGTAAAGAAGAGTTTAATAGTATTATTGGAGGTAAAAGTAAGGGAATTTGACCAAATTTGGGTAAAAATTGAGTTGAAAAATGGAAAATCTAGTTAAGGGTACCAGGATCAGTACCGATACTATAGGTCTAAATTAGTATAAACATGTTGAACATTATCGATACTGATGCAATTAGTATCGATACTGATGCAATTAGTATCAATACTAATGCAATTAGTATCGATACTAATGTGGGTATCGATACTAAGAGATATGTATCGATACCATGGATTCTAGAATGCATAAATGATATCGATACTGAAAGGGAGTATCAGTACCATAATATAGAAGTATCGATACCATGTAGGTGTACTGATAATATTGAGCCTGAAATTATAAGATATGGTGAAATTGTAATAGAAATTGAAATTAATAGTACTTTTGAGCATTATTCAAAGTATTAATGTTAGAGAGTATACTAACATTGGTATGGTATGTGTACTTAATTGATGCTTATATAGATCATAACCAAGCTCCTGAGTCAAGCAAGAAAAAGGGTAAGGATAAAGATACCGAGTAGTTGGACATCATTACAACATATAGTGAGGCATATAAGGTGAGTGCATTTATTGTACTTCTATGAAATGAGGGAGACTAGCGACGAGTCAACCTCGAACGTTTTGTTAAATCATGTTTTGCAACACATTGATACGTTTTCATAATGTGTATGGAAATGAGATTATGAATAAGTTTTAGAGTATGAACTGCTCTAAAACGATATATGAATGATGATGTTGTTCAATGGTTATCGATATAGAAGAAATAAATGTTCAAATATGTGAAATTGACTTAAAATCCCATTGTATATGCATTGAGAGTCATAGGTGAATTTTGACATACTTCGTGTATGATGTTATCGATCGATTTTGTTTAACGTATAACAGTGCATTTTCGTATTAGTACTAAGTGTACTTTCGGCACTAAAGGTGCAATTCATGGTATTCATAATGTGTTTGTGAATCACCATTTCGATATACATAAGTATATAAAAGTTATAGATCGATTTTGTTTAATGTAGAATGGTGCATTTTTGGCACTAAAAGTGTAATCCATGGAATTCATAATAACTTTATGAGTCTCCATTTTGGCACTTCGGTGCAATGCATGTACCTTATATTCTCATTTGACATACATTGGGTAGAATAAAGGATGAATTTTGAAAAATACTGATTGATAGGTATGATGGGCATACTAAAGACTATATGTCATGTTAACTTATGGAAGATTGGTTCGCCAAGCCAAGTTGATGTAATTGATAGGAGTTATAAGATTTTATTCGTATTTTCATAAATTGTAATATGCTTATTGTTTAAGTTTGATATATTTTTGTATTTTTTATGCCTCATTAAGTAAATACTTAGCATGTGTTAATTTCACGCGTAGGTAAGAGCAAAGACTAGCTGAGTAAGGAGTGCAGACGAGATCATCAATCCAAGGTTGACTCATCAGTAATAGTAGGACAATCATGTTTATTTTGAAAATTAGCCGGCATGTAATCGAAATTAAGAAAAATAGTCTGGAATGTATTTAAAGTGATAATTTTTGGTAATATGTTTCAGAGACTATTTTATTATTGTACTAAAATGTTTTATTTTAAATTTTGAAACAAAATTTTATGGGTTTTACAAATGACTGAATGATTTTAAAAGTCATGGGACACCTATGACTTGTGTACGGAAACATATACGAGAAATGGATGTTATAGGTTGTTATGTTTTGAAGATGGAAAACCTAAATTTCCTGAAAACTAAACATCTGTTAAGGAACTTGAGATTATAGAGAAGAAAGATAATCAAGGCCAGGCATCAACGAGCCAATTCTTTCATCCCGTCACAAATTGCAAATCAAGAATTGAACCTTCAAAATTAATTCCTAAAATCTCATTCTTCGTAGGCTAGCCCCTTATCAAGTTCTCCATGAAGAGTATATGAAAAGAAAATATATCAAAATTTTCAATTCCATCCATTTCACTTCTCATGCGAAAATTTATATTTTGAAATCGAATTAATCACACCTAACTATGTCCAAAAATAGTTGCTCATCCCACAATATTGGAACCCGAAGATTAGAAACCCCTTGCTCAAATGGGATTGACATAGTTGAACCAAAAAATGGCCTATTAAATGCAGTAACAATTCTACGATCAAATCTCAGTTCAAGTCATTTTATGACATTTCCTCGACTAAGGGGGAGACAAATGTTGTGCTTTCATCGAATGCCCTCCACATATCATATTCGCACCACCACCTCAAAGTCTTTAGAGAAAGAACCTGAAACCTCAAACACCTAACACTCCTCAATAAGACACGATCTCTTAACATGATCTATGATATGCCTATGCGACCTACCAAAGTTGGTAGCTGACGATATACACTTAGCATGCCAACCTATGAGTAGGTATTATGACTTTATGCATGACACCAACACTAAAAGCCACCATAAACCTCTCGACTAAGACTAGAAGAAGCCATGAAATCACCTCTCCTTCTTTTATCTCTTATTTATCTTCTCATAGAGACAAAAAGCTTTGACACCGACCAACAACCGTTTAATCACCGATTGTGGATCTCCGCTCAAATCAGAAAGGATAAATCACTTATAGATGTCATAAATCATTTTAGTCTAATATATATATATATATATATATATATATATATATATATATATATATATATATATATATATATATATATATATGGGGTATGATCATATTACACAATGTAAGACTCTTTTAGTTTTACACAGATTTAGGACCGTTAGATGAGAAAATAAATTACTTAGATTAACAGTAGAAAATGAAAATATATTTATTGGAAGAAAAAAAAACAATGAGTCAATCTCAACCATCTATTTTCATTAATCCAATGATTCTATATCAATATAAAACTAAAGAGTTTTACATTATATAAGTGGATCCTAACCTTATATATGCAGACATAGACTTATTTAGGTTAAACATACAATTGAACGTCACAAGCAAGACCTTCAAACGAGTTCAAAAATTTTCAATTAAAGTTCAAAAGTTCAATTCAGTTCTCTGCTACTCCATATTAATCCATTTATATTTCTATTTTAGAGTTGCTCCCACTTCAATAACAAAAAATTATGTCGTCTTTCAATCGCAACTTTATATGATATAATAGTTATTATATAAGTTATTTATTTATCGCAATCCCATAAATTGTGTATATGTGCCAACGAATGTTGGTATAAGTGGTTGAAATTTAGGAATTTGAGCTTGTAAGGTCAAGTTCGAACCTTACCACCATCACTTTTGATGGACAATCTATAAATTTATATGTAAATCTCAATTGAGTATTAGGTATGCACTGATCATGGACTGGAGAGCCCATCCTGACCTAAACTTTTATGCAATAATAATAATAATAATAATAATAAATTGTGTATAAGTTTAAGTTATCAACCATAAATAGTTATATGCAAAAATATTGTGTTGCCATTTTTCCATCGTTCAATATATGTGACTAAATAATTTATCAAGTGACGTTAACGTAAAAGATAATAATATTATTTTTTATTTATTTTTACAATTATGAGTCTGAACAATTACGTTGTTAAATTTATAGTCGTCTATAATATTTAAGAAAAAATAAAATTTAATTTGATTAAAAATAATTAAATTATTTTTTAATTTTAAGATTTTTGGGTTAAATTATTCGAGTTGTTCAAATTATTCTATTCAACTCAAATTTTTAGTTTATATTTCGAGTTTGGGTTGAATTTAAATTTACAATGTTTGAAACATCAAAAATTAAAATGATGTTGATTTGATCTTTTATTAAGTAATTTGATTATTTTTTTATTTTTTTAAAATGAAAATGGACATTATTAGAAGAACCCCTTCATAATCGAAATCAAGAGGAGAGTCAATTCCGAACATTGGAAGAGATGCGTTACTAAACCAATTGGATTATTTTGTGGTTTAATCTTTAATTTCTTTGTTTCTTCAAATTTTCATTCGTTTTAAGTTATTTTTTTACCAAATTAGAAATATCTTGTTCTTCAATCATTATAAAATACATGTGTAACTTCAATTCATCTTTTCTTTTATGACAAATTTTATCTTTTTACAATCCAATCCCTCAACTTTGTATGTTTATTCAATTTGATTCTTCAACTATAACTCTTTTACAAATTCTCTCACTTAATTCGTTTGATTTTTTCGTACTCAATTAATAGTTTATACTCAAAATTCATTTTTTTGAAAAATAAAATTATAAATATATCATATAATTTCATATAATATTTGAGTTATTAAATAACATTACAAATTTTATTTACTCATTTGACACAATATTATATATATATAGTTAGATAAAATTATTTATATTTGAACCCATCGGTATCATAGTGTCGTAAATAATTATATTTAAATTTGAACATTAACTCAAATAAATATATATGATTCAACCTAAATTTCATAATCTAGATTTAATTAAAAAAAATCAAACAAAATATGAATGATACTCGTAAACTCAATTTTTTTTATCTTAATCAATTCGATCAAATACTCTACCCTAAATCTTATTAGTATATTTGATCATTCACCCAATGCTTTATAAAAAAAATGAAATATTAGTCAGCAATCAGCTCTAAGAATTTGATAATCCTCAAGTTTCTTGTTCATAATCTAAGATGAGAACTTACTATCTTCCATAGCACTGCCTTGCTGCAATTCTGAAATCATTGACAGTTTGAAGGATTTCATCAGTCCTTAAGTTTCATATTGATATGTGCAAATTTCATCAAAATCTTTTCCTTGGTTGGGGAAAGGATCAATTTTTCTGAAGAACATACTCAGAGAATATGAAGAGACGAATATATTTATAGAAGAATATGAAGAAAAAAATCACAAAGGCCCAAATCTGAGTCCGACCAAACAAACCTTTAAAACCCAATAAACAGACATGAAAGGATAACCTAGCAACATAGCAGAAAATCAGATTTCTTTCCCTCCCAAAGAAGAAAGATGGGGATTTTGGCAGGCATAGGGGTGTTGGTGCCATTTCCATTTTACTACTTGTTATGGACATACCCACAGTTATGGGTGAACCTTTGTGGGAAAGGAAGGGACCCATCAAAGGTAATGGCCCTTGTTTCCCATTTCTTCAAGCTGATTCAGTTCGTTTCTCTCTTTTCAGTTTCTTCCCTCTCTTGGCCTCCCCCTCTCTACTTTTGGCCCCTCTTTGCCTTCGGTCAGTTCCTCAACTTCAGGTCAGCCACTCTCTCTCTATTTATATATCATTGGGTGTTTCCTATTATTGTTATCACCGGATTCTGGAATTTGCAATATGAGAGTCCAAGTTGAAGGAACAAAGAAACTATTAGAAAATATAACTTGCTGAAGAACCTTAAGGTGAGGGTGCTTAAAGAAGGTAGGTAGATAAAGGGACAGTGGTCCTACGTTTTTTCTCATAATGGTGATCTGAGTCAAGGTCTATGTTACCTGAAACTGGAACGAACTCATATATATAGGTTTTTTGTGTTCATATGAACATATAGTTTTAAATAAATAAATAAATTCTAAAGCTTGTTAATTGTTTGTTTTACTCAATAATTTTTTAGTAACTATATATTAAGGGGTCGCTAGTTTATTTGATTGGATGGCTAGTGTTCCCGAATTCGGAAATTGCTGGGGATATAGCGATTTATGGTCAAGGTTTCTCTAGGTGGAAAGCCCTACTACATGCTTGTTTTGGGATGTATGATGGGGCTTCTGAAGTCATAACATGTTTTCCTATAAGATTAAGATTTTGCTTTCCTTTGTACTGGCAAACGATTATGGATGCAGATAATAGTATTGATCTGACTGTTTGATCATCCATAACTCTTATCTTGAAACTTGGGGGTTGAGGGGGAGTTTATTTAATTGTCTCGGTAGATGTTGAGGCATTGCTGTAAGAGTTGTTTACAGGCCAAGGGACAGTCTCAGGTGGATAGTTTCTGTGGGGCGTAGGCCCTTCAAAAGGTAACGGAGGCGTGCAAAGGTTTCCTTGTCCCTCAAGTGCAAAGGCAGAAGGGAGCTTGACTGCAAGAACCACCTTTTGATCAGGGACAAAAGTCGGCCTTAGTGATCCTGCAGTACCGAGTGGAAGGTCTGTCGCTCTACAGATAAATAAATGGCTTCTACTATTAGGGTGCCTGATTTGCTTCTTTGGATAAACATCTTAAACATGATCCTTAGGATGTAGTGACAGGTTGATGGGGTTAATTGAATCACTTTATATTTCTCTGTATATCATTGTTTTGGAGTGTCACTTGTGTGTGTATATTGGCTTCATTTGGTTTGAATCAGATTGATTTGGTGCTATGTTGCTTCGAGTCTAGAAGAAGTTATCATGAATTCGGTTTTACGGGGTGTACCAGTTGCTTCGAGTCTAGATCTTACCTCTAGAAGTTAACTTGAATTCGGTTTTATAGGGTATACCAGTTGTTTCTAGTGTAGACGAAGTTAACCTGAATTTGGTTTTATAGGGTGTACCAGTTGCTTGGTGAATCGGGAACTTACTATGGCGTACGCTTCGGTAAGAATATTCCATGGGTGACAGAATTCCCTTTCGGGTATATCAAAGATCCACAATATGTTGGGAGCATCATGAGCCTTATTGCCTGTCTGTCTTGGGTACCCATCCAATACATTCTCCTCTGGTCACTAGGATATCTATTTATGATCCACATCGAATCGACTGAAAATCCGGCTACATGTGCGAAACCTTTATCGTAATTGCTCAAGGTTCGTGGTGACAATTAGGTAATGACAGGCACTCTTTGTTGTGATCTTGAATAAGCTCACACATTTGAAAATGAGTCATGTTTATGTAGCTAATGCTGGTGAGCTTCTTTGACTGTATTTGTTTTCGGAATAACTATACTTGTAAGACTCAGTAACTGCACCAGAATAAGATCTAAGGCATCGTTGAAATATGAAGTGGCATGGACTTTTCCTTTTCAGAGTTGTTGATCTATTTGATTTTTCATATTCCATAAAATTTAAACTCTACAACTGTGCTTGGTTTTTTTTAATCCTGTGATGGTTTTTCAATATTAGTTTAATTGCTAATAAATCTCGAGTTTAAGGTCTTGTGTATGCATAAAATACTTGTTGGGAGGCTTATTTACCAAAATTAGGTGTAACACGTCGGTCCAGATTTATCAGGATAAAACTTTGAAAAGCTGGGAGGGCAAGAAAACCCCATCTTGGTATCTATATTAACTTAAACAAATATATATGATAATATTATATAGCCCGGTCACATGGTGCAAAATTTTCGAAGGTTATATTAGAAATTCAAGTATCTAAAATTATAAAATTTTAGAAATAGTAAAATTAAATTATTAATAGAAAATACAAAAAATATCTAAATTATATAGAAATTTGATCGTTCTCTAACATTCTCCCTGCCAGTCCATGGTCAGTCTACTATGCATATCCCTCCTGTTTGCAATATATAAGCTAGAATCATTGAGTCCTTATCTAGTATTGGCGAGCAAGTGTTTCGAATGTGTTTTGGTCATCCAATTATATGAATTTTTTATTTTGTCACCAATGTTTCCAATCGAATTGACAAACTAAAACAGTTAGCATTCAAGCAGATGCCATATGGGATACATTTCTCCAAAACAGCAAGGTTCATACAAATATCTCTTCCCTTGAGAGAACCTACTAAATGCATCTTTACCTACACAGATAAACCTTATATTTTGATCAAAGCTTCATCACCACTCACAAGCCTAAAACTAGCACAGAGGCACATCAGGATAAGAAGAAAAGGCTGATGATTTCAACTATTTCTTAAACTCCGAGAAAATGAAGACATAGTGAATAATTTGTCATTAAAGGTCAATAAGTGCATAAATCATCGCTTCTAAATCTGATATTAACAAAGAAAACCTAGGATTTAGCTGTACATTACATGAAAAAAAGTAAAGAAAATGTCAATCCATGTATCAAAGAGATGACATGACCCCTTCCAAATAAATCTTAATCAAATGTTGGCTCTTTTTACTGATTTATCAGAATGTATACCGATTCTTTATGGCTAGAAGCTTTGACAGGCAAGTTGCGGAAAACATACAAGGCCTATGCAATGTATAGACAATCAAGGAAAAGTGGGGAAGATGATGCAGAGAGATAGAAGGGAAAGTGATGGGAGGGATGCAGAATGGAGGGCATTTAAAGCAAAACAACATGAGAAGTAATCTAGTTCTGGACGATAGGATAGATACAGATACAGGGCACTTAAGACAAGAACCAAAACATTCTAACACTAAACCAACTCAAAAGTAAGGTACTTACTTTAGGTTTATGCAATAATAGAAGCAGCTAATTCATAGCTAAAACTGTTTCTATCAAGATTATGTTCCATCATTCACCTAATTTGCTCTCACATACTATGTTCACATAAATGCACCATTAATAGCTATATGAAACATATAAGCTGCGGTGCAGTAAAAGAAGAATGAATACAATAAGCATAAGAAAATATTCATAAATTACGAAAATTGTTGCCAGAAGTGTATATTGAAGTGTTAGTATGAGGCACACTCATACAGACAACAAATGGTTATCCAATTTCGTCCCCCTATTACTGCTCATTATCAACGAGCATTCTCAACACCTAAACCATACAACACACCAGAATAGTTTTCCAGAGTACCACTAAAGAAGTTCTCATTGAGTTTCCTGAATGTACAAGATGTGAGCAAACTATCCGAACCGGCTTGATGACAAATCCCAACTCTTTCCACTTCCAACAACTCTGCGAGCTTGCTCAATCCACCATGCAGGCTATTACAAAACTTCATCAAATGCTTGATATCATAGAGCGTGGGAAAGTAAATATTGATCAAATTAAAGAACCCAGCTTGTGTATCTGGTAAGTTCTGGCAAGTCAAGAGCTTAAGCAAGTAACCGAAATCATAACCACTGTGGAAAGTAACCCAATGCACACCGTCATTCAAAACAATCCCTGAAGATATTAAAAGCTCAACAAATCTCATCGCATCAATACCCTTCTCGTTATTCTTCTTGAAATCAATCCCACGTTGCCTCAAAAGCTCAATAGAATCATTAGCAAAGGTTAAACTAGCAAAAATTAAACTGCCAAATGCAATATTTTTCAGTTCCACAAGTAGGCAAGTTCCCTTTCTCGTCCGAAAAGGTAAGACCCAACTGAATCAACTTCAACATATCAACATTGTCTTTCAAAGTTTGGTAGTGATAGTCATAGCTGCTCTTGAAATTGCACGGGACGTAATACAATGCCCGGAAACTTGGTGTCCATGGAAATGTACGGGTAAGCATCGACGATTTCACTTATCAAAGCGAATTCTTCCTCAAGGTTATCGTTCCACGCCTGACGGATTTGGATTGAAGCGCTCTTCGGAAACAGAGGGTTGAAAATCAATAGGAGAAGTTATTTTTAAACCAATGACAACCCAAGAAGACAAAGATTCCTTAATTTCCAAGAAAACCCAAACAAAGAACCCAAATTAAATCAGATTGAGATTTATCAGAGATGCAACAAATAACTCTGTAAATCATCCAAAACCCAAACCCAACATGCATAACATAACAACCTTTTAAATGAAATTTGAAGTATTAAGCCAGAAATCAGAATCCTATATGGGGATACGAAGAAGAAACTTACCGTGAAGAAAAGGGAAAAAAGGGGCAAAACTTCCCCTGAAAGGTCCTTCCCCTCTCTCTCTCTCTCTCTCAAAACGGTTTTGGATTGGAAATGGGAAATGGGAAATGGGAAATGGGCGAAATTGATCTTCGACTTAAATAATATACGTTAGAGTTGTCACCGATTATTTTAAAAATTTAAGTTGATCGGTTATCATCTTACATGATCTACGTTTTACTAGAAATATATCAGATTCGAGAGTCAGTTACAGTCAAGTAATGATTAGCACCTTTAAACTGTCTTTTCGGTACTATTTTAATTTGTCGGCTGTCTTAATTACGAAAATTAAAATTTAAAAACTCGATTGGAATTACTTACCTTTAATCGATTAAAATTACTTCTAAAAAATTTAAAACGTTAGATTATAAAATAAAAGAAATATAAAATAAAAATTAAATCTAAAAAAATCAAAGAAAGAAATATTAAACTTTAAAAAATATTATATAAAACATGTTAAAAGAAAAAATAAAATAAATAATAAAAGTATTAAATTTTAAAAAAGAAAAATATAAAATATAAAAAAAATATAAAAAGAAAAAATAAAAATAAAATAAAATAAAAAAGAAGTCAAAAAATAAAGATAAAATAAAATTAAAAAAGAAATATTAAATTTTAAAGAAAATACAAGAAAAGAAAAAAATTAAGGTAAAATAAAATGTATAATAAAATAAAAGATAAAATAATAAATAATAGTACTAAAAATAAAAAGGGGGTTCAAAATTATTTTTAAAATAAAAGATAAGAATTACAATAAAAGAAAATAATTAAATAAATAATTTAAAGAGATAAAGAGAAACTTAGTGAAAGTAGCCTCAAACTTTAGTTTTGTCTCAAATTCCTCGGATCATTGAAACAAACTTTTACTTCAAGATTCACGTTGGATACTACAAGAACAATTCCTTACTATCGACTCGGATTATGTTGTTTCAACAATAATTAATTTCGATCTTTGTTTCTTCTTAGCAAACAATTTTGCTAAATGTATTCTCGGGGAGTCGAATTTGCTTCAATAAGCCAATCCTTCTTACAATTCTCACGTTTGAAATTGAGTCTTCGCTTTAGCTCTCTGCTCAAAAGAAAATTAGCTAAGCATGACCAAAATCATACTTAGCATTTGTTGAAAATTAAAATTAAAAGAAAATAAAGGAGTATGCGAAAATAGAGAGAAAGCTAGAGAGAAAAAATATTTTATTCTTAGATGTGTCTGTTTCTAGGCTTACCCTGAGAGGGTATTTATAACCTTCAAATTCCTAAAAACAAGCTAAAGATAATTCCTAAAATAATATATTTTATCATAATTAAAATATTTAAACTAAAATACCTAAAACAAAGATAAAATAAAATAATATTTAAAATAATATCCTAAATCATAATTGAAATACTAACATCTATTTAAACTAAAATACAAAAATATAATATAATATTAATATACATACTAAATAAGCACCAGACGAAAATGGGTGTCTACAGCTGCCCCTCTTTGTCATTTTTCGTATAACGAAAAATATGACAAAGATAAAAGGACACAAATTTTCGTTCGATAGTTACGGATGACTTCTCCGTCGCGAAGTTGGGTCAGTCTTGAAATGATATCCTTCTTCATGTAGTTCGGAATTTGAATCGGAAGGTAGCTTCTTGTGGCCAAATCGTAGTCAACCTTGGTCTTCTTATCGGTTTAAAGACCTCAGTTTGTAAATTTAACCGAAAAGTAGTTCCTCAATGCTACCATGTGGTTGATATGCTCTCGAGCTGAATGAAATCGAACTTGAAGGTTTTTGTTGACAGATAACCCTTCTCGCCTTGAGCTATGTTGTGACTTAGGTTAGGAGATAATTCCTTATTGTTGCAGATGACTCATTTGCTGCGGAATTGAGTCGATCCATTTGGAACGATATCCTTCTTCGTGAAGTTGAAATCGTGAGTGGCTCATTCGTTGTGAAGTTGAGCTTTGAACTGAAAAATCCTGAGCACGATATCTTTCGTCGTGAAGTTGAAATCAGATATAAAGAATTGGAAAATCGCTCCTAGATTGTCTTCTAGCCCAATATACTTCATCGTGAAGCTGAAATTTGACCTGAAGACTTTGGTATGAAATTGATTTTTCATTGTTATGTTACAGATGACTCATTCTTCATGAAGTTGGGTCAATCTTTTGGGTACGATATCCTTCGTTTTG